TTTTGCGGTACGCGGGCCTCTCACTGCTGTGGCCTCTCCCGTTGCGGAGCACAGGCTCCGGACGCGCAGGCTCAGCGGCCGTGGCTCACGGGGCCCAGCCGTTCCGCGGCATGTGGGATCTTCCCGGACCGGGGCACGAACCCGCGTCCCCTGCATCGGCAGGCGGACTCTCAACCACTGCGCCACCAGGGAAGCCCCTTTGCCCTTTTTTTCATTGGGTTATTTGTCTACTTAGTATTGCTTTGTAGGGTCCTTTATAGATTCTGAGTACAAGTTCTTTTTTAGCTAGATGTATTACAAATACTTTCTCCCGTGAAATGGATTGCCTTGATATTTTCTTAACAGTACAAGAAGGGAATTAAATAATCTTCTATTACCTAGACTGTGGATCTTTCAGGTCTTTGATGTAGATGAACATCTGTTCACTATTTTCATGGAGTAAGCCAGATAGAGACCTGAAGCTTGGCCAGTATTTTTATGGGGGAGATAAAGGGGAGATTCTCTGGCTTCAAACTGACCCTGACTCTGAAGAGTCAGGCAAATATTCAAATATTTACTGAGTACCTAAAATGTGTAGCATAGCCATATCATTTATCATATAAATTAGAATATTTTTTAACGAAAGAGTCATTAACCATAATTGTGGCAAGAAAACAGGTATAAATTGGGAAAACCAAGACACAGTGTTACCCCCTGCCCTATGTTTATAGAATGAACAGTCACTGGCATTAAAATCCCCGTGATACAGAGGAGGAGCAAAGTTTATATGCGGGGCTAATAAGGTCGGAGGATGATAAGTACCAGTGACTTGGGTAGTCAGAAAATGTTCCAGTTTCTCAGGCTGCCCTCTTGTCTTGTGGATGGAATCATTTGATTTAGTCCCAGATCATATATTTCTATAATGCTTGATACACAAGCTACTCAAACACTTTCTAAAATCCTTAATTTAGGCACATATCTCATGTGTAAGCCTTTATACATAAATATTCAGAAGAGGATAAACTGACTAAATGTATTCCATGAATTCTTATATACTTAGAAAAGATTATACATACTTGTACCAATTTGGATATTTAAAGCATTCTGGACGTTCTGAAACAAGTCTAGATTAAACAATACAGTTTTCATTAACAAAACTGTACTATCTGCACATTTTCAGTGGATACATTTCACAGGATCTATAAAAATAAAGGACTCATATCTCTCAGAAAACACTCACAGATTATTGCCATCAAGGAATTAAAGTTGCCAATGTTAAAACACTCCCGAGCTACGTCAATGAAATACTCAATCATCCTTGCTCGGTGCTTCTTCTTTACAGGCTGTATAGAAAGAGAAAAAAGAGGGCAGTTATCCAACATGTAGACCCAACAGATGTAAAATAAGTATGAAAAGATAATATAGAGGGTTAGAAGAAAGAGAAAATTCATTTTCTCACCATGCAGATTTCCGTAGCAACCAAGTAGCTGAGACGATTAAACCATTCCACGTAAGCTTCTAAGTTTCGTGTTTTCTTCCGTTCACTGTAGCAACTCTATAGAGAAAGGAAAGTGAGCAGAGGAGTTGGAGGAAAAAAGAGTGTATTAAGCTCTCCTTTTATTCAGATGTGGGCCTTTATTCTCAGTGTGTGAATTAGGAAGGCTTTCTAGGATAAGAGTGGGGGTTGGGAGGGGAAAGAGAAAGAGAGGGAACCACTAACATTCTTGACTCTCCTTACAGAGATATCAAATCTCTTAGTATAGTCCAGTGAAAACCCGAAGGTCTAGAAATCTATTCTGCTGCATTCATGACAATCTATTCTGATGAATTCATGATTTGTGCCTTCTCTCCCAGGAAGCTAAGTTACTCTTGGGGGGAACTGTCCTCAGAAGCACAATTCAAAACCAAAAAAAGGGTCTTGGCTGCATTCTAAAACAATCTTGACTAATTAATGGGGTATGAATACCAATTGCTGTCCACACAGCATGGAGAAGCTGAAAGCGCAGAAGACTAGAAAATTTTCTCTTAAAATTAAGTCTAGGAGACAATTTTGGAACTTTGTGTAGCAAGAAACTAAATATCTTCCAAGGTAGATAAACAGAAGCCTACATCATCCTGGTCTTTAATAGGGTGAGTGACATATTGTTCAAAAACAAAAAGAAGTTAAGCTCATCTCCGAGTTCAAGGCCAAACTTGAACAGGTTAATTACACCCCCTCTTTCCTTCCTTCCAAATGAAACAAACAAATTTCAAAAAAGTCCACTAGCCTCCTATTGCAAAACCTAATCTTGACTTCCTATACTGAGCAAAACTATTCTAAGGGCGGAAAACAGCTGCTGCCCCTTCTCCCAAAGGGGGGCTTTCGTTAGTGGGTGATGCAGTCTTTGCTTAACAATTTGAAATACTTCCTGGAGGTCACTGGGGGAAAAATTTCTTATGTGTGTATATACCGGTTTTACAGCCCATGCCTAGTGTCAGTTTCTTTCCATATGGGCTGCATCAGGCAACAAACCTGTCATGAGGGATTCACCTTAAAACAAGAAGCAAGGCAGTAAAGACCCATCCTCAGCACACTGGATATGCATCCTGTCTTTATAGCCTCTGCTATTGTTGAATCATGAGCAGAGCATCCTTTCGTATTTTCCTTCTGACTTAATCTGCTGAAACCATTACCCTTTTATCTCCTACCTTCACCACCACAAATGCCCACACCTACTTGCTTATTAAATATCCCAATAAGGAGGAAGAGAGGTTAAAAGTTGGTGGTAGGGTAAGAATATCGTCAAGGCACTTAGAGACCAGGCTCAAGAAAAAATGTAATGAATCAGGTACGGCTAATGAAAAACAAAAAAAAATTTTTAAAACCTAAAACAAAATTGTTCCAATTTCTGTCTCTTGTACCCACTATCATAGACTAAAGAATTCCATTGCCAATTTCAGGGCTGACCTCTGGGTAGACCAATTACCTTGTCATTGTCCAAAGGGTCCTTCTGCACAAATGCCTGAACAAATTCTTCTGGGCCAATATAGTTGAGCCTCTCCTGAAACACAAACCCAGCAAGTCAACAGTATTAAACAAAAGGAGAAGAAATGGTCTTTCCGTTCTGTCTACTGACTTTTAACACTACCCTCATTCTTTAATGTAGCTTGTGAAATAAGCCTTTAACCCTCAAAATTGTCATCATCTTCAAGGTCTGAGCAGAGGCAGTTTTCTGCTTGGGTCAGTGCTACACTAGAGAGTAAAAGGCTGAGTGAGTTATGGAAAAATTAACTAGAGGGGGAACATGAGGAAGGTCAATAAACTCTTTGCTCTTCAGTCTTGCTTAGTATTTATTTTAAAGTGAACTCCCAAAATATCAGAAATAGTCATATTCAAATGTCTAAACAAAACACGTTCCAGCTATTTCATAGATTACTTCCCATTTGGATTATTCTAACCTCTCCCTTGACATTACCGCTGACAAACACACTGTCTGGTTGTCAAAGCAAATCAAGTGTGGATTATAAAAGACAAGGATGACAATGGCCTTACTAGCTCTATGTGAGTCAGCTGCTGGGCCAATGTGTAAGGGTCACTGCAGACAGTAATAATGTCCCTTTGTATGGACTGTGGCTTGGTCTTGAGAAGTGTGAGCCGATCTGTTGACGTGGAGCTGATTTTTGCCAGGACTTCCTCATACTGGCTGAGCGTGGCAAGTTTGCGGATTAGACACTGGATCATCTGCTGGACATTCTTCCTATATGTCTGCCAGGAAACAAGCAAAGGATTACCTCCTTGCTCTGCTTGTCTATTTTCACCACTACGCAAACTCAGAGACTCTGTACTTCAATGCTTTTACCTTCACGTTGAGACAACCACCTTGGTTGAGGGCAGTTAGAGGATTCAGCTTCGCTCTAACAGTTTAAAAGAGACACATACACATAAGGTGTCTTTTCAGATTTGTAAGACTTAGTTCTTTTCTCAGGCTGCTCTTGAGAGACAATTCAAGTTGGGCCATGAAAACACTACAAGGATGATTTACATGAGCTACTGAGGGAATCCAGTATAATAAGAACCACATATAACTAATGTTCTCTGGGCTGGCATAGGAATGTACCGGTTTTCTTTTAGTAGGTTAAAATGTGTAGATCTCAAGTCAGAGCATCCTTTTCCTAATTCTTTTTCTTTAGGGTCCCCTTCTAGATTTTTCTCCTTCTAGCATTCCCAATCTCATTAATGTAAGGGTACAGACAGCTACTTAACAGAAATACACCATCACTTCCCACTCCCACTTCCCCAACCACCTTCCTGACTTCCACATAGAACATGAGTTACCACCAAAAAAAAGCAATGGATATTCCTTTTTGGGATCTGACTTCCAGCTGGTTCATGTCCATTTCTTTTGCATTCATGAGTCAGTGCTAATGTTCACCACCAAACTCTTCCACATGGCAATTCTACTCATAATGCTACTATCAGGTGACACCTTGTTTGTTACTACATCATGCTACCGCCACAATACTTAAGAGAAATTGGTTTTAAAGCAATGCGTGCATTACAGATAAACGTCAACCTCTTGACTTTTAAAATAGTTGTTAAGTCCAAGAAAGAGCTCCACAATCAACCGATTCCTAAGGTAGAGTTACATGTGTAAGTTAGGGTATTCTTTTATTCTTCCTTTTTCAGGCAAAAATTGCCAAACTAACACTTATCCTTCTGGGTAAACTGTGACACCTGTTATCGAAGAAAGGCACACAGGCTGCTTCAATGCTAACGTGGTCCTTAGGTTAACAGCTCCAAAGGAGGACAGTCCTAGTGAATTTACAGATGAAAGCCCTATGTCCATGCTTTACTAACTAATCAGCTCCTTTTAAAAAGGTACCACAATATCATTTTCTGAGATTAATTATCTGAAAATTAAACGGCATCTTACCTACAAGTCTAAGAACCATCTTTTTTTACGAAAGTAATTTGGTTTACCAGAGCATCTTATAAAACTTTAAATGAATAGATAGTTGCATACTTCAGCCAAGGAAAATTAAAAATAGAAGGAAATGATCAATTCTCATAGAGTCAAGGCAAAAAGGCACACACAACCTTCTTTCTTTTCTTCTTGTCTACTTGTCTGATGTATATTCCTGAGTTCTTTAAACTGGTCCATTAGATGACCTTTTTCCCCTCTACATTCACAGACCACCCTGAAGTCACTAATGAAATACCGAAGTGTTTAAAAACTTGAGACTGCAAGGAACCTATCTTCCACACAGCATTAAGGTTATCAGTTAAGAAGATGGTATCTATTTGGTAATATGGCTGTCACTCAAAGAAAATGCCTCTTTCTTTGGAATTCGAAGCAGTTAAGGCCAATTGAGGGCTATTTTAAATCCCTCGCTGGGGGGTGAGGAAAATGGGTGAGGGGGGTCAAAAGGTAGAAACTTGCAGGTATAAAATAAGTCAGTCATGGAGGTGTAAAGTACAAGATGGTGACTACAGTTAATAACATTGTATTGAACATTTGAAAGTTGCTGCGAGAGTAGATCTTAAAAGTTCTCATCACAAGAAAAAAGTTTTGTTAATTATGTAAGGTGACATGTTAAGTAGACTTACTGTGGTGATCGTTTTGCGATACACGCAAATACCGAATCATTATGTTGTATACCTAAAACTAACAGAATGTTACATGTCAATTGTACCTCAATAAAAATAAATTAATAAAAATAAAATAAAACCTGCATCCCTATTTCCCTTGCTTCTTCTACATTCATAATCTTGAGTTACACAAAAATCGATGAACTTAAAATGGTTTCTTCGGTCTTCTGCCCCCAATGTCATAATAAATGCTCCCCGGGTGATTCTGACATGAAGCAAAGCATATCTGGTGAAAGACTCTTATTCTACACTTTAAAAAATGCTTTTTAGGGAA